TGCGACGGGGGGGTGCGCGGCCGTGGGGCGGCGCCGGCCAACGCCTGTCACGTGTGTGAGCGCTGTCCCTCTCTCCGCCCTCCGCCCTAGGTCCCCGCGCGCTTTATTGCGACCTGCCGGCGGGAGCCTGGTCCCCGAGCCCGAGCCCGAGCGGCATGGAGCGGCGCAGCGACAGCCCGAGCCTGCGGGACAGCCCTGAGCGGCGCGGCGGCAGCCCGGACGCCAAGGGGCCCCCAGCGAAGGCGGCGCGGCTGGAGCAGAACGGCAGCCCCCTGGGCGCGCGCGGGCGCACCAACGGCGCGGCGGCCCGGGCCGTGGGAGGTAACCGGGCGAGCGCAGCGCGGGCCGGGGCGGGTGGAGTGGGCCGGGTGACAGCGCCCGGGCCGCCTCTGCCGCGGGCGGCTTCGTCTCCAGTCGGAACCAGAAAGTGGCTTACCGGAGGGTGGCATTTTTTGGGCACTTTGCCACTGTGTGCTGAGGTGTTGGCAGGTTTATGTCACAGCCAGCTAACTGTTTCTGGATTTTCCTGGAGAGTTCGCAGCGTTTAACTTTGCCTCGCCTGGGTGTCGGGTGCAGGGATGAAGTTGGGGTGAGCTGGCTGCGGCGAGTGGTCCGTGCCGCGCAGGCCTGCAGGACCGCGCGCTGCTGTTACTTTGTGTTAGGACAGTGCTGGAGGTAAAGGAGAGGAGGCTGGCGCGGGTCCTCTGCTCCTGGAGGGCCCGGTGTCCCGGCGCATCTGAATCCATCAGGCCCTGCTAGCCTTACTGCGCTGCGGTCTGCAAAGTTTAGAGCAGGCGCTTGTAACTTTGTTCCGAATTATAGAGCAGGTAGCCTGATTAGCTACCTGCTGGCTCCCCTTCTGAGAATTTAGCATTATGTAAAGGTGCGCTTTTGCTTTTGTTCTCACTGCTAAGTAGCTAGGAAAAGTAACCTGTAACTCGTAGATAAAAGAGAAACGGAAGCGTTAGAGTGTTTTGGGGTTTGAACGCCAATTGCTTGTGCGTCTTACATATAAAATGCGTAATTCTACATGGCATGCAAGCGCGTGTGTGTGTCTGTGTGTGTTGGTTTTAGGGATAAATCACTTCTTAAAAATTTTAATTCTAAGGTTGTTTTCCCTAACATTTTTTACAGTAGTTTATTTAATGTAATTCTTTATACTGCTTGGCCTAAAATGATATAAAATCCTGGCAGGCTTAGTGATAAGCTGTCAGCCCATGTCCCAGATGCCTGTCATGTGTATCTTGAAGTAAAAACTTAAAATGCCCGCTCTCTTTTAAAGAGTTAAACACAGATATTTTATGAAATGACAATTTTTGGTTTTTCTTTATTTTGCTCTTTTCTGTTCCTTCGTGATTTGCCTTAATTGTTTATATTAATCATGTCCCTGGGGAAGCATTAGTTTTAAAAACTTGTTTGGCTGTGGAGTGTGGCTTATCTATCTTCCCTTTTGGAGATGTGAACATACACTTTTAGTGAAGGAAAGGAAAACCTGGCAGTTCTGTGACCATCCTCCAAGAGTGGGGTGTGCTGCTGAGTCGTCCAGGGCTGCATCGCACCCTAGGCTGTTCTGTCATCACAGATGTGCATGTGAGGAGAAAGTGCCCGGGAAGTGTGGCTGGGACCAGTTGTAAGGTGAGAGAAACGCTGTTGAGGCTTGCTTGAAGAGTTTTCAGCAGTCCTTGCAGGCAGTGTATTCTGAGAGTGGCCTTATGTGAAGAAAAAAACTGGGACTTAAAATTTCAGTCTCTTTCTGAAAATCTAGTAGAATTCATTGGATAGGAAGAAGTCTCTACAGGTTTTAGAATGTTAGAATGTAAATGTTAACAATTGTGCTGCCGTAAGACAAGGTCCCCCCATGTATTGACTGCAAAAGAAAGTGCTTTGTTCTATTGACCAGGTTACCGTTAGTGTAGAATAGTGGTTGCATTTAAAGTTTTCTGAAACTATAATTCTTATTTGACCACTTAATTTAAATTTGTTATGAACCACTGTTATTGTCTTCATGAAGCATAAGTTTGTTTTTAGTGAGGTTCCTTAGTTACCTTCTCTGAGGTTTAACTTCATTCAGTAATATCTAAGTTCTTATTATATGCTTCCCAAACTGAAAATAAAGATGACATTATTTTGTCTCAGTGTACATTTGTAATATGTGGTAGTAAAGTGGTTAAAATAGTTTATCTGTGGTAAATTTTAAAATTTTTTTTTTGTGAAAGAGAAAGCTTTTAAACTATATAGCATGATAGATTTTTTGAAAAGAGATTAATTTAGAGAACTTCAAAATATGTTAACTTAAAATATAAAATTTCAGTAGTACAAAGCTTTCTTATTGAATGTCAATAATTATTTTGTGGGTTTAAGTTTATATAGTTTCCAAATGTACATTAAGATGCTAATAATTTCATTTCTTTGCAACTTTTAATCGTGTATGTAGATGAGTAGAGCCAGGCCTTTTTAAAAATGCACATTCTCAATTTTAAAAAAATGTTTAAAATATATTTCTAGTTAGAGGTACTAATTGAAAGACTTTTTCTGAACCTAAGATAAATAAAAAATAGTTTATATTTCTACCACTCTGTCCTTTTGTTTAAATTTTCTTTATAAAGCATTATAATAAACATAGATAACTATAAAAAATGCAGCTCTGCATCATTTATTATCATTTTCAGGTACATTGTAGTCTTGTCAGTATCATAAAGATGGCTATAATAAACCACATTTGAAAAGTAGAGCTAAAAATTTAGGAACACATATCTGTTAATCTTTAGTATTCCTCTTTTGAAACACTCTCCCTGGCCCAAAATAGGGGAAACATTGAGTTCATTGGTTGCTCAATAAAATAGCAATTTATCTTATGCTTTTGATAAGCAGTGAGATAGTTCAATGATTTTGGATGCATTGGTTATAATAGTAAAATCTGTTGCTGTTCTACTGTTTTAGGGAAAGAAAGCTGGTTATGATTTTGGATGAGAGCTCAATATTCACATAGAGTGGGAGCATGATTTCAGTGTCTGGATTTAACTAGTAGAGGTGGTTGCTGGTCTGTCACAGTTTCCAAGCTTGACTTTAATGGGAGACTCAATAGTGCATTGTTTAAAATGTAGTTAGCATTATAAGACTGTATCAGAAAATAGATTGATTTTGCTTTGCCTTTCCAACTTGTTTTGGGATGTTTTTGCTCGTATTTAAACCGTGTGTTCAAAAGCATGAATGTAGTGCAATGTAAGAGCTCAGATATGTATGACAGTCATCTTTTATAGAAGGTCCTCAGGAAAGAAAAGGCTAATATCTCTTTAAAAAACATAGGAAGGCCAGAGAGGGCTTAGAGCGAGCTAGAACACCACGGTGTTGACAGCTTTATATCCCTGCTGGGTAACATTCACTTACTAGAATTGGCGTCCCCCTCAGCTAGTAATTCACTCCATAAGGATTTTGAAAAAGGATGATTAATGGTGGGGACATTTGTATATGTGAAATGGTTGCTTAGAACTTAAAAATCTATTTGAACTTTTAGAAAGAGAGAAGGTTATCAAGGACGATGAAAATAAGAATCAGAGGACCTTTCCTGCCACCATGGGCCCAGGTCCCCCAGGGTGCTGTGTGGAATGCCTCAGCCTCACAGCTACTAGTGGGAGCCGTGGGGCCAGGGCTTCCAGAGAGCAGCCTATGCCTTGCTCCCGGGCTGCTGCAGGTGCCGCCAGTGGTGCTGCAGGGTGCTGAGGACTGTGCCTCATGCCCTGTGGCTCTAGCCTTTCACTTCTTCATGTCTGGCCTTGAGGAGAACTTTGAGACAGCTTTATTTAAACCGAATGGACAGCGCTTGGGTATGCCAGATGGTGTGTTTGCTGATGGGAGGCATTAAACATCAGAAATCATCTTTCCTATGAATTTTCATGATTTGGGGACTATTAAATGTTCTAGATTTTAAGAGAAATATTTAAACATTGGGAACATTTTATAGAAATAACTTCTTTTGGAAAAATACTCTGCTATAAAAATAACCATTTACTTCTTTGAAGAACTGCTGATTGAAGCGATCTGCTAGCGGGCTCACCCACAGAAGAGCTGCTCCTGCTACCGTCTGCTCTCAGGAGCAGCTCTGTCTCGCTGCAGGGGGAGTCGTCATGCTGTACACTGGGCTGATGTGGTCCAGTGGGAGCAAATGTGCTCAAGATTGCAGGGCAGGGCCTCGTTCAGAGCTGGACATTGTCTGCAACAGCAGTTTAATCGTCTACATGTGGAACATTTCCTTCCAGAATAAAAGAATGTGGTTCAGGTCAGGTGTAGACGCCATATAGCAGTCATAGAGAGACATTTTTCTTTTCAAAAGGAGTGCAGGTATAAAAGAGTATAGATATGTACATTAAAAGCATAAACTACTTAGGAATTTAGAAATATAAGTGTCAGCATGGGAAAGAGAAAATTCCGTTTTCAAGGAAATGTTTCAAGAGTGTGTGGAAGTACTCACAGTATTTCTTCCAAAGAGAAAAGACTGTATTTCTTCTACTTTTTTTTTTTTTTTAACTTGAGTGAACTTAGGCTTTGGGGTCATCCAACAATCCAGCATGTCCTCTGTAGTTTTGCTGAGATAGAAAAATAGCCCTTCTGTAAAGTGTTTTTAGTCCTTGGCCTGTTATTAAAATAAAGATATACTTGGTCAAAAAAATATATGCAATGAAACATACACATTAAACAGAACATAGGGTATCCACCCCTCAAAGTCCTGAGCATAATTTGGTGTTTCAAGTAATTTTGGACGACTTATGTTCCATCAGCAGAACCCACTGACCATTATATATTCAGGATCATCTGCAGTGAAATGTGTGTGTGTGCATGTTGTGTGTGTTGTGTATGTTTGTGTGGGGTGCTAGAACTACATAAATGTCCGTTAAGGTTTTTTCAACCCCTGCCAAAACCAAGTACTATCACCCTTTCCCTGGGGTTGTAAACAGCAGTTAGTCTGTACATCTTAGTGTTAATTCTTTTTTTCCTGTAGAAAAATAATTTTTGGCTCACCTATCTCTGCAGGGAGGAAAAACAATCTAATCATCATTTATTAGATATTTAAGAATATGAATTTGAGTCATTTTAGGAATAAGGAAGTTTATTCCGGGCAAGAGTGTATGGTAAATGTTTGGTGCAGTTGGCAAGGGAGCAAGGAGTGAAACTTGGTGGTTCTACTTTGTTGATTTAAAACTCTTATTTTTCTTTTTTTTTTGGTAAGAATTCAGTGTGGAAACATTTTATATGTGTGTATTTTTAAAAGATTATGTTACGTTTCCAGGGTTAGATGAATTCCAAATTATATTATTTTCTTTGGT